GGTTATCTTCCAAAATCCAACGAAGAGCACTTTTTTGATTACTATTACTTCAAAACTATGAGGTAACAAATTTTCAAAAAAATGCATGTGTTTCTGTACTGACTCAGGTAGTTTTCAGTAGTTTTTCAATTATTTGTAAAAATGCAGTAAGTTACACTTTTTAAAATTACAGGGCAATGTAGTGTTGGCACCATCGCTCCAATATTAAAAGAGTTATTTTTTGACGACGATATTTCAATAACGACGTGGTAAATCGGTTTAAAATTTTTTACACATATTTCTCGACACTTATATTAATTTTGCTTACAATTTCGTAACTTTTAAGAAACTTTTGATTGAGGAATCAACTCTCTTAACAGTTTTTTTTTTAAGTATTATACTGTTTATACTGGAAAAATTCGCCGAAAATTTTCTTCTAGAATATTTAACTTACGTCCAAAACATACTTCTGTATTATATAAACCTCTTAGAGTTCTGTCAACAATCTCTTAGACTTTCTTAGATAATAATAAAGCTTTATCTCAAATAATACAATCACCTTTTCTTACATTTTTTTTGTTGTTTTAAAATTTAAAGAACGCGCTTTCTACATTGTTTCAGTCTAACAAAAGCCTGACCATTTTACAACCTGTCATAGTTTTAGAAGCAATATTACTGCAATTCCAGTCTAAGTCTACGACGAAGTTATATTACTTTCAGAAATAAAGTAATGAATTAATGCTTTATGTAAATTTTCTCTTCCCGAATCACTAGGACCGTCAATAAAGAAAATTTTATCATTTTATTTTTTACTCTCCCAGATTCACAGACACACTTATACATACACTTATTTGGAATGTCAAGTCCTGGCATTTTTTGACCTCAGCTTACACCATACATTGCTTACTAAAATTTATGGCCTACAAAAATCCACATTCTATAATATGTTTAAGAAATTGTAGTGTTTCATTCATCAGAAACAAGCATTTACTTCAGTGTAAATTTTGCACTTCATGGTTTTAGTGATAATGATGGATTAGGAATGCATGTTAAACTTATTAAAATTAATATTTTAAATGAAATATTAGTAAGCCCATAGTAAAATCAAAAATTGATATACATGCTATAAAAAACTGTGGGAATAGTTAAAAATATTAACTGTATAACACGTCAACGAAAACTTAAAAAAGGGACACATTTACGAAGCCACAAAAAAATGTGACAGAAATTTTTTAAGAAAACCTTTTTACATTACATATTAAGCAATTTTATTGAAATTTAGGTTAACAATATACTTTTATATTATTATAAACAAGTTAATAATTGTTAATGTTATGTTTATATAACCTTTTTCCTTATTTTAGAATAAAGATGAGAGGACTCGATAAAAAAATTGAGGTATAAATATACAAATATATAACCAGTAAAAAAGTCTTTCAAATATGCTTATGCTGCCTCACTCCACTATGATTTGTGGTACTATATACTATTTTTACGGTAAGTTATATTTATTAAAAATATTACGATTTTGATTATAAATTTTTTCTTACAGTTATAATAATATGTTGGAGTTAGATTTAAAAAAATTAATCTTGTACATATTGTACCAATTATTCAAATTAAACGAAAATTACAATTTAGATACGATTGACACTCGTCTCATGGTGGGGAGTTAGGGTGCAAAGGGCACACAGGGTGGAGTCCCTCTAGTGTGTATATTCTAGTGAGGCTTCATCTCCCTGCGCAAGTGCTGTACATCCATACAAAGTATTAAGTACATTTATGACTATATTTACAGAGGTAATAATAGAGCATTTGTAAAACTAAAGAATGTTGATAATGAGAATAATCTTACCCCAAACGTTGATCACCGAAATCAAGGTACCTTATTAACTACTGTGCTTAAGTAGATGATAAAGTCTCACTATTGTGCATGTGCAGATGACATAAATACTATGCCTGGTCGAGTATTGGGTTCTCTACCTTATGAACTTTTTAAATATTTTTACCAGACACATTTTTAAGAAAAAATTACTTTATTTTACAATTTTACAAAGGGTCTCACACAAGTCGTCAATTAAATTTCATTAAATGTAATTTTTCTAAGGTTCTTTGTGGGGTTTTTTTTATTGATTAGTTTTTTTAATACCCTTATTTTTAACTAGAAGATGATGGTAAGTCCTTTTGAAAAGTTTTAACTTATTTAGATAACAGTTTAAAAAGAATATAATTACGGAATGTAATTCAATTACTGACACTCATAAAAGGCTACAGTAAATTGTTGAATAAAGTGGTTTATTTTATATATATACATGTTTGAAAAGAATATTTAAAAAGTGTACAAGTTCATAAGATGTTTTCAAAAAAATCGTAGATAATTATGTTTTAGCGTTATTTAAAATTTTTTTACTTTTCGCCGGAGCCTTCTGAATACACCCCCCCTTACTAAGTAAATAGAGTGTTTACTCTAGTAATAAATTATCAATAGAAATAATAAAGTTCGACAATACAAATATGGGCCTACTAGTACAATTTCTTTCACGGCAAAAAATCCGAGCTTTGTGAGAGACAACACAAATACTACTGTAGTTTATCACTTATTTTTAGAGTCATTTTATTGTATCTTCTTATTCATTTCATAGTAAAACAACAATAAAACCGTAGTATCATTTAAACTATTTGCTTGTCCTAAGATCCTACTTCTCTAGCGCATGCATTTATTCTGCATGGTTAAAAATAAACTTGATTTTAGCTATCATCTTACAATTATTGTAAACATAACAATTCAATTTCCAGATTGTGACAAACGAAACCATAAACAAAAATGCATTTATATTGTAACTTTTTCTTTGCAAAAAAATTCTCAAAGCCATACACTTCAAGAAATCATAGACAACATTAAAAATCGGCAAGAAGTGTGATGTTATTTTAATTATGAATGTCAATTTTGAAAAATTGAGAAAATAGATTTAACAATCACTCATACTGTAGTTGTTGTAAGACTAATCGTGCATGTAGAAATTAATAAAGGTACTATTCAAATGATTAACTTTGAAACGCAATACTGATGTGTAAAATAGTGATTAACGACATAAAGTTCATTAGGCCGTAAATAAAGTGTTTCACCATGGTGGTGGATTAAAAATTTCTTATACAAATATATTTTGTAACATAACCAGTAGTTGCATGTCAATGATGAAGATGTTATCAAAAAACATTGGCCCAAAGTGGATAGAGATCTAAATATTTAATGCCTAAGGCAAATGTGAGGTATTTAAAAAAATTAAATAAAAAAAGTGACTTTCAAACATCAAATATTACGAACTAAACCAATCTTCTCTAAATAAAACAATAGTTTTAAAATATTAAGACCATTTATATCTGATTCTGATTAATTACAACTACTTGATTCTAGAACTTCACGAAAAAAAGTGAGATCTCTAGAAAAATGAACCATTTTTATTTTAATGTAAAGGGTTAGGTGAGTTTAATATATTTAGTATCTTTAAAAAAAAAAAACAATGACTACGAAAACAATTATCAACTACAGTTATATGTTATACAGTAGTCTTTTAAATGGCAATAACAGTAATAATATTAAGTGCATTTTTAAAGATATATTGTATTTGTTTTGTTACTTACTCAAACGTATTCAACGGAATACAAGATTTTAAAATTAACTAGGTCAACAAAAAAAAGTGAAGTTGGATACTACATAAGACAATTTTTAAATTTAAAAAATAATTCAACATCGACAGAAATATCATTATCAAGATGTCTGAATAAATTTTGCGTGAATCTATACAACAATTATTTCAATGCTTTAACAAGGTAAATATTTTGTAATAGAAAGGAACATAATAATAACTTGCAAAATGGTTTCTCGAAATCCGTATTGCTCGTTAAAAACAATATTAAACCAGCCCATCAAGTTTTACACGTTCGATTATTTTGCGAAGTATTAGCGTTTTTTCAATTAAAACAACGTCCAATTGTGGTACTGTGGAATTTTGTATTTATTAAAAAACAAAACAACGTTTCGGCCGTTTTGGCAATGTCCCGGTCGTCATCAGGTACAAAAATCTATGAGTAATGGAAAAGTTCTTTACAACACAAATTTTAGTAACTACAATAAACGGAAAACACAAAAAAGATTTTTCTCTCCGTATTATTTTTTCGACACTTAATCTACCTACTTATAGTTTTTTAAAATTTCTTTCTAATCTTTTGATTAAGAATATCCTGCTGGTAGAATAATACGTAAAAAATAGTTATGAGTTAAATATAAAGTGAAAAGATATTATTAATTCACCTGGTTACACTCTTATTAGTCTAGATGTAGTTAGTTTATTTACTAATACTACTTAAGCCTTATTCATAAATGCAATAAAACATTTTTGGAAATTCTTGAATTGTAAAATCAAAGTTTCTCTTTATCAATTTTGCACAGGTGTTTCTTTAATTTTAAATTCAACTTTTTTCCGTTTTAACAACAAATTTTATAAATAAATTTTTGGCTCTCCAATGGGCAGTCCCTGTAGTCCAGTGCTGCGTGATCTCCTAATGCGTATGCTTTAAATTCCATGATTAGAAGAGTTATGTTTTAATGTTTCACTATATTGTGTAGTATGTAAATGATACTCTTATATGAATCCCTACTAAATATATTACCTATACAAAAAACATTCTTAACAGCTATTGTCTGGAACTACAATTCACTGTTGAAACATGCAACAACAATAGCATTAGTTTCTTAGATTAAAAATAACCATTCAACAACATAACACAGTACTAACGAATTGGTAACCAAATCTCACACATTCAGGCCGATACTTGAATTTTCTCTTGCACCATCCAATACAACATAAAATAGGTATCATTTACACTTTAATAGATTTTTCCATTAAATTAGCAGACACTCAATTTCATAACAATAGTTTAAAATTAATCTGTAAATTCTGACTAGCTAACAACTATGTTCAAAAATGTATTTATAAAATTTTAAACAAAAGAATAAATACCTTAAAAAACGTGAACATGATTGACAATTGCAATAGAAACGGCAATGATTATAAACTAATCTTGTTATTACCGTATATTTCCCACTTGCACGGTCCTATTAAATATTTTTGTAAGAAGCTTCACATTGGTCTTGTATACAGTTTTAAAAACAAATTGAATTCGATCTTTTCACTTGGAAAGGATGTAACCGAACCACTCGATAAAAATAATCTCGCTTACCACATACTATGTGCAAATTGCAACTGCTGTTGTATCAATCAAACATCAGGAGCTGTTAAATTAAGAATGGCAGAACATAAAAGAGGCTCAGAGAAAAAAAAAACATATGTACTACCACAACATAGCACTGAATTTACACATGACTTGAATTTTAATAAAATGAAAATTTTAGACACAGAACAAAATTACGAAGAGCGCTTTTTTTCAAATATTAAATATATGTCACTTAAATAGTTATATTAATAGACAACAAGATACTGAAAAATTAAAAAATTGTTATAATTCTCTCATTAAGTCAATTAAGAAAGGAGACTTACTAAACGTACATGATTTGAGGGTCCCTTGCATTTATAATATTAGAAAAACATGATCTATCTACATATGTCTTACAAGAAACTGCTTGTGATTCTTATTTGATTATATTATGTACGTATACTATGTCATTTATGTATGTGCAGGGTATAAAACCAACTAAATTTTAAACTTTGACTATATTTCGATTTAACATCCCTTTCGTAAGAGTCAGAGATAAATTGTACTTTTTACTTTTTCTGTTTATTGTATTAACCAAAATTTGTGTTGTGAAGAATTTTCTTATTGCTCATAAATTTTTGTACCTGATGAGGGCTGAGACATTGTCTAAGTAACCAAAAGATAAGTTTTTATCTACCAAGACATCTTAACAAAAATATTTTTTTGATATTAAATTACTTTTGGTAAGAAAGAACTCTTTTACGTAGAAAAAACTTTACTACTTTTTGTTAATCTCATAACTCTTACAATCTATCAATTTACTTAAACGTTTTAGAGAAGTAACATCACTTATCGTATCCGTCTTCAAAAAGGCACTAGATGTTATAATAGTTTGCGCTACTAAAATGACTACTGTGTAACATACCACTGTATTCAAATACAATTTTTGTAGTCTTGGTAATAGTAACATATTAAATACTATTATACAATATCAATTAACAATTATTATACAATTCAAATTAACTATTTTGTTAAGGTTATTGAGTCACAGCCATCTGTCAGCCTTTTGTGAAATCAACTGTACATAAGTAACCAAAGTTAAGAAGCATTACAAACTGATACTGTTGCAGAATTTTTTTTAACCCACCAGGTCATGCATATATATAGTGCAATTAATAATTAATGGAAAAGAAATTTTTTAAGTAAAATTTACATCAAAAAGGCAAAAAAATAGAGTTNATTTGTTTTATACAGTATAGTTGTCAGGGCTTCAAAAGCAGCTCAGATGCTTTATCCAGCCCTGGCCCCTCCCGTAAGTTTTATATCTCAAGGATTGCAGTTAAAGGAATAGAAAACTTTGTATTATTTTACTTTAAAAATAAATTAAAGCATAAAAACAAGAAATAAGACTGATTAATAATAATAATATTAAAAAAATATTTGTTGCACTATGCTGTAGTTCTTTATGATTAGGTTAAATACTTGTGTCTTATTCAGTTTTATTATAAACCATTCTTTATTGATTATTACAGGAAAACTGAGGCTGATTTTTTATAACAATAGTTTTTTACTCATGTATAAGGTAATTGTTATATTTTGTTATTATAATTGTAATTACTTATGCAATTTATAATAGTTAATTAAAAAAAAAGGTTTCTTATTTCAGACCTTTTCTACCTCAAAGTCTATGTAAAGAATCATAATGCAATAATAGGGAATTAATAACAAAGTGCACAGGAAAGCGTAGCCCTACTAGTATTGATATACAAGTAAAATTAAATTTATGCAGATTATATGTGCTTTTAAGATGTACACTTATAATAATAAAAACTTACGCAAAGAGTTTGTATAAGTCAGAAAAAGTTAGCATCAAGAAACTTTTTGTTCGTAGATTATTAACATGAATTAAAATACTCATTTACGTACGTGGCTTACAGGTAACTCATGCAAATACTATTAGTAAAAATAACCCAAGGGTAATTATGAAAAAAAATTGTACTATTGCGGACAGTCTGCATAATTGTCTAATGTTCTTAGCATATATGTTTAATACAACTATATTATATGTTATGATAAAGCATTATTATAAAGTATTTTAATAATAAAGTCTGAGAAAGACGGTATGATCCCTGTCAGGTTCCCTAAAAGTAGTTTGGGGGGTGGTAAAAGGGTGGTATGGGGCACATCAAAATGCGTGGCGGCTATGGGGGGGGGGGCAATAGGGGGCCCTGGGAAAAACTGCAATGAGTAAGAGGAAAGGAGAAAATGATGGGTTTTAACGTCATCTTGGGGGGGGGGAAATGGTGTGCGGTGTGTGGTAAAGGAGGTCTGCACGTGTAGGGGGATGCCCCACCGTGATAACTATGTATATATATATGCATTTATAAATCTTTATTAATGGTGACTGATGTGGACATTATTATAAAACAAAGGTTAGTATGAGAACGAAATCGTACTTATGCGGACATCCTCATAACTTTTAAATGTTATTAGTATATATTTTCAAAGCAAGCTTATATTTATACTAGTAGGACTCTTCTTCTCTGTGCACTTTGTGCTCCAACCCTCCTCAATTGTGTTATTACTCTAATTTTTTAGAAATAAGCTTTGAATTTATGTTTTATAAAGCCTTAAAAAGTAACAAAATTTATTGTTAGTAGGAAAAAAATATGTTAAAGTAGATTTTATGGAATTTGGAAAACTACGGCATTTTTAAAAAATATGTGGAAATAGATTTTCTACGCTAGGGAAAGGTTACTGGGCTGCTTTTTATAAAATGGAAAGAACAGGCTGCTAATTCTAAATAAAAGAAGTGAAATTTACATAGAGAGGGAGTTGTGCCTTTATTTTTTTATTTTTTTTTTTTTTTAGGGGAGCTGTAGTATTTCTTCTAGTGGCCCTCTTTTTTGAAATGAGCAGTCTATCTTGTGTGTGTCAATAGATATTTTCAAAACTTATTAATCAAGCATTTCTCATTTTCTTTAAACTGTCCCCTACGTGTTGACCGTTGGTCAAAGTATGTTACAATATAGTCAACATCCTTAATGTTTTAAAATAAGAATTTATTTATTAAAATTCAATTGTACTTTGTTTATTTTATTTTTGTTTGAAGTCTTACTTGTAGTTTTTATTTTTGTATGTTAAAATTGGACAAACGTTGTGTTGTTTAGTAAATAGTGCTGCTGTCTTCACTTGCTAGTTGTAGTTGAGTTATAGTGATATAAATAAGCATACGAAAATTACAAAATTAGTTGTATGATTATTATTGCAGGCTAAAAGTGCATTGACATTTTCGGAAGAAACCAATAATTAAAAGGAAATGATTCCAACGCCCTCTCAATTAAATTATTTACTGCTGGTAGCGTTTTTACTGAACAAACGTATTTATTCACCAACAAAACACTTCATTTAAATAAAGATCGTTTCTAAGGGAAATTGTAACAAAGTTTGTTATTATAGTCAAATAAAATTATATGTTAAAATGAAACTATTTGTACCAACTTACGTATAAGACTTTTTAAATTTATTCACAGCATTATTATACACACTTATTATATTACATAATGTAATAAAAAATCTCATTGAAATTAGGGGGGAGGTATGGTAGGTTAGAAAGGGAGCATGGAGGGGAGCTATGGGGGTTAGCAGCTGGAGGAGGGTAGAGGAGCTATAAAAAATTAAGGATTATTTGAAATATGCAAGAAAATGGAAGAAAAACTACCTTATTTAGGGGAGGAGTTGTCAGGAAACAATGGGGAAGTAGGGCGGAGTGGAGAGAGGTGGGGGAAACAAAACCTCACTTTAAACTCTTACAACTATATAATATAGTAAGGTACACACACACACGCGCACTTACACACACACACACACACACACACACACACACACACACATATATATATATACTTATCGTATCCGTCTTCAAAAAGGCACTAGATGTTATAATAGTTTGCGCTACTAAAATGACTACTGTGTAACATACCACTGTATTCAAATACAATTTTTGTAGTCTTGGTAATAGTAACATATTAAATACTATTATACAATATCAATTAACAATTATTATACAATTCAAATTAACTATTTTGTTAAGGTTATTGAGTCACAGCCATCTGTCAGCCTTTTGTGAAATCAACTGTACATAAGTAACCAAAGTTAAGAAGCATTACAAACTGATACTGTTGCAGAATTTTTTTTAACCCACCAGGTCATGCATATATATAGTGCAATTAATAATTAATGGAAAAGAAATTTTTTAAGTAAAATTTACATCAAAAAGGCAAAAAAATAGAGTTTATAAAAGAGTAAATAAGAAATCTTATTAAAATGTAAATGATTATGAACCATAATACTAATGTTTGATACATAATTTCCTTACTTTTTTTATATAATATAT